TACTTGGTCTACCCTACAGCCCCTGTCTTCCTTTGTCCTTCAGTCCTTGCCTCCTTTCCTGTTCTTTCTTTCTCCTACCTACTACTTCTTAGAGTCTGTCTCACAATGTTCGGCATCCCTGATATGACTCAGTATTACTACCATCCTTCCCAGAGTCATGTTGTCCGAAGCCTGCTCTCTTATCCCGAGGACCAGCCTTTAGTGTTCTCAGATATCTTGCCAAAACTAGCTTCATTGTGGGGTCCAGAGCAACCCTTGGGCTGCCCATTGAGCAAACTCAGAATTATCCCAGGCTGCTGTCAGGTCCTCTCCAGCTCTGAGTATTATTGTTATATTTGCCAGTGGTCCCTCTCCCTTCCAAAGCCAGATACAATTTCAGGGTCACACAGGCCCTGGATCCAGCTACAGCATTCACAACAGTGAGGATAAACTATGTATCGAATGCCTCTCTTGCATTATCTCAGTCTTAGAGTAGTCCTGCATGGGAAAATTCTTAGCCTCATTATACAGATGGAGAAACAGAGACATAGGGTGTTAAATCAGTTGCTCAAGGTCATACTGCCAAAAAAGGAAAAAATTCAAGATTTGACCCACTTTGGCCCATAGGTTCTGAACCGCCTCTAGCAGCTGGCCACGGTTCCCAGAAGGAAGGGTCTTTCTCTTTTTGCTTGCTTTTGGGGTCCCTGATGCCCCCTTTCCCCCAACAGCCCGTGCTCCCACATACAGCTGTGTGCCTCTTGTGTGGGGAGGCTGGGAAAGAGGACACAGTGGAGGGAGAGGAAGAGAAATTTGGTTTGAGCCTCATGGAGTGTACAATCTGCAACGAGATCGTCCACCCTGGCTGCCTGAAGGTGATGGCCCTGGGGACCCTGGAGTCTGGGATAGGGGAGAATGTCAGGGATCAAGGAGGTGGGGAACCCTTTCTCTGAGTTTACTGACACCATACATCCACTCCCTGCCCTCTTCCTACAGATGGGGAAGGCTGAGGGTGTCATCAACGCTGAAATCCCTAACTGCTGGGAGTGCCCTCGCTGTACCCAGGAAGGCCGGACCAGCAAGGTAAGGGCAGGGACGGGGCTGGATGCTAGGCTCTGGGTAGGCAGTGGGCTGGGAAGCTGTGCAGAATCTCACCCCAGTTTTCATCTCCTTAGGATTCAGGTGAGGGACCAGGACGCCGCAGGGCTGACAACGGCGAGGAGGGTGCCAGCCTGGGGAGTGGATGGAAGCTGACGGAGGAGCCGCCGCTTCCACCACCCCAGCCCAGGCGCAAGGGCCCCTTGCCTGCTGGGCCGCCCCCAGAAGACGTGCCTGGGCCCCCCAAAAGAAAGGAGAGGGAGGCAGGGAATGAGCCCCCTACCCCAAGGAAAAAGGTGAGCCAGGGAGCATCCTCACTAGGTCCAGCTCAAGGGAATCTGGGAGCAGTAATCCTGTCCCCTTTAGGGAAGCCTGGGCCAGAGAGGCAGTGCTCCATTGGTTCCCCCACCCCGAGGGGTTGTTGAGAGATGCAGTTTTCTAGGTGTTAGGGGGAGGATGGGGCATGCTCAGTGTGGAGGAGAGGTACAGGTGAGGGGCAACTGGCACTGGACAGGGAATCTTTGGGAGCCCTGGGTATTTTAGGAAGTAGGGAATGAGCATGCTCAAAGCTGCTACAAAGGAGGAAGGAGGGGCTGGAAAGGGCCTGAGGGGGAAGAAAGAGATGAGAGCATGCTCAGTGAGCCAAGACACTGGTTAGAAGGTGAGCATGCTCAGAATTCTCCTTGAGGTGGGGGCTTCTGGGAATTGTAGTCTAAGAGGAGGACATGGATCTTAGTTTTGTGAACAGTGAATGGCTAATGGGGTCTCCCTCCCTTTCCCCATATCTCCCCCTTGCCCTGGTAGGTGAAAGGAGGCCGAGAGAGGCACCTGAAGAAGGTGGGTGGAGATGCCTGCCTCCTCCGAGGATCGGACCCAGGCGGCCCAGGCCTTCTGCCCCCCAGGGTTCTGAATCCAAGCCAGGCTTTCTCGTCCTGCCACCCTGGGCTCCCTCCCGAGAACTGGGAGGTGTGCCGGGGATCACCTTCCTCTCCCTCCCCCTCCCACCATTCCTTGCCGCACCCTCCATCCCGGAGACAGAGATCTGTCACTGTCATTGCGCTGACCTTGTCCTGTCCTTGCCTCACTTGGCCACAGTGGGCATCTGGACCACTGGGAAGAGTGGAGGGGGAGATGGGGTTGGAGCCAGGACCCTGACTTTCCAAGAACACTTGAGGGTATTATCTGACCCTTTTACCTCATCTTTCCAAACCTTAAAGGGAAAAAACCAAGTTCATATACCTGCCCAGTGACTCCCTGTGTGGTCTTAGCAAATTGTCAGCTGCTCTGATAGTCAGTTTTTCATTTTTGAAATGAAGATGATACTGCTTTCCTTATCCACCTATCCCACAGAACTGTTTAAATTTAATGAAATGAAATGAGCTTTGTAAATTATAAAATTTACCTCAATTTAAGGAAAATGAAGCCCAAAGAGGTTAAAAGATTTGCCTAAGGTCACACAGCAAAGCTAGAATTCAGATGTCACTTTGCACAGATACAATGCAAAGGTCTGCCTGATTGCATTTAAATCCTACTTCTGCCATTTGTCAGCTTGTAACCTTGGGTGCTTAATCTCTCTGAGCCTCAGTTTTCTCGTATCTAAAAAGTGACCCAGGTTGCCACTCCATTCAAACACTACGAGGATGTGATGAGTCAGTGAGTATGGAGTGTTCCACTTGGGGCCAGATGATCTTTGTTATTCTCATGTTACTGAACAGACACTTAGAATTATCTAAGCCAGCATCCCATGTTGTAGATGATGAGGCAGAGGCTTCCCAAGGTCACACAGAATTGATAGTCAAGCCAGTACTCAAAACTAGATTTCCTACTGTTTTCTATAGCTCATTGTTTTTGGAAATTCATAAGCAATTAAAATCCATAAGGCATTTAATTATTTGAATTAGCACCTTCCCGTGACAGATAAGGAAACAAGTTCAGAGAGGGTCATGGCTTGGCTGATGCCTCACATAGTTCAGGAGCACAGTCAGGGCTGGAACTCAGGACTGTCCCTTGGGCTATTTACTCCCCAGGGGCAGGGTGGTGGGAAAGTGTGTGCCAGGCCTTAGAACAGTCTCCCTCTGTCTCCCTGCAGAAACCAAAGCCACCTTTGGCCTCTGCTGAGGGCCCAGCAGTGCCGTCCCCATCACCACAGAGGGAGAAGCTGGAGCGTTTCAAGCGGATGTGTCAGCTGCTGGAGCGGGTGCCTGACACCTCCTCATCGTCCTCGGACTCGGACTCAGACTCCGACTCATCGGGCTCATCGCTGAGTGAGGATGAGGCCCCTGGCGAGGCCCGGAATGGGCGACGGCCAGCCCGGGGCAGCTCAGGGGAGAAGGAGAACCGCGGAGGGCGGCGGGCTATACGCCCAGGCAGTGGGGGGCCCCTCCTCAGTTGGCCCCTGGGCCCCGCCCCACCACCCCGGCCCCCGCAGCTAGAACGGCATGTGGTACGGCCCCCACCTCGAAGCCCTGAGCCTGACACCCTGCCTTTGGCTGCTGGATCCGACCACCCCCTGCCCCGTGCTGCCTGGCTTCGTGTCTTCCAGCACCTCGGGCCCCGGGAGCTGTGTGTTTGCATGCGAGTCTGCCGGACTTGGAGCCGCTGGTGAGTGGCCTGGACAGGTCTAGGTTCCATGCTGACACTCTCTTCACTTGCTATGTGACCTGCAACTGGTTCCTGATCCTCCTTGGTCACTGTTCTTGTGTTGATAAAACTTCTGTAGTATGTATATATTATGGCATGATACTTCTGTATTTACTATGCACAGGCTGCTTTCCATTTTTGAGCTGAACTTTGTGAGGTTTCCCCTTTTACAGATGAGGCTGAGGTCAAGGTCGTGTGGAGAGGAAGCAGTAGAACCAGAAATTGGAACCCAGAGGTCTTCTTGCTCCAGAATCTTTCCTCTTAATAACTTATTTATGAGTGTTTAGTATGTGCCAAGCATAGTGCTGACCGCTATACATGTATCATCTCATTTGCTTTTCATACTCCTGAGGACAGTCTTATCGGTCTCATTTACACGTAAGAAAGCTCTTTGCTGAGGTGGCCCCTGCCCTCTTAGAGGCAGCCGTACTTGGGCCCCGTGACTCCACTTGTAACTTCTTCATGCCCCAGAACCACCACCATCTCCCTTTGCTTTTCCATTCCCGTCTCCCCACTGCTTCTTAAACTTTGTTCAGAAATGTCAGTCATCCTCCCAAGCCTTTGGTCTTCCTCTTTGATCCTGCCCCTGACAAATTCTCTCCCCCAAATTAAATTTGTACAGCACTCCGTTCCCCTCACAGAGCACATAGAGACTTTCTGCATGTTGATGAGCCTTCATTCGTTTATTCATAAACATGTTCCAATCAGGTACAGATGTTGTGTCTGTTTTATCTTCATGTTCCCAACACAGGACAAAGGGCACTGTAGGTGCCCTAGAAATAATTTATAAATGAGTAAATCAGGCTCTTTCCCAGGCACTTATTGTTGGTGGACCAGGCACCTTGTTGGCTGGTTTGCAAATGTTAGCTGATTTGTTCTTCATAATAGCACCCTATGAGGGAATGAGGGACACCTGAAATCACAGTGTAAGTTAGTAGCTGAACTTCAACTCCAGTCCTTTTCCTTTGCATTCTGGGATTCTGGGTGCTAGGTCATGCCCACTGGTCTCTGTGGAGGCTGTAGAGCTAAGAGGATGGGATTGTGGGCTCTGGAGGTAAATTGCCTGTGGTTCAGTCTTATTCTTCTTCTAATGAGCCATACGTGCCATTGGGCTAGTTTCTTAACTTGTCTGTGCCTCATTTTTTCATTCGTTAAACCAGGAGAACCAAGAACACTTCGTAGTGTTTTTTTTTTGTGAGCTACTACACCTAAAGAACTGAGGACAGACAGTACCTGAGAAATAGAAACTACCCAATTTTTTAATTGTAATCATTATTATTCACTCAGTTATAGTTACTGGAAGTACAGACTTTTACATCCTCAGACCATAGATCTGTGTCCTAGAAGAGCTCGCTCAGTCAACCTGCAACATAGAAGCAAATAGTTATAGCAGTTGCTGGGGATCACCACCCGTGCTTCATGTGGTAGTTGAGGAAATGTTTGCTGAGGCCTCTTCAAGGCCAGCCCTGTGTTTGGCATGTGGGATTCAGAACTGAAGAGGACTTGATTTCTGCCTCAAGGAGAGACTTGTGACCAGAAGTGCCAGAGGCTGGACTACACAGTGACTCCCAGCTTGGTCCCTGGACTCTGGTCCTCATGAGTTCCATCAGCTATGACTCTGGCACTTCCTGGATATATGGCCATAGGTGAACAGCTATACCTATCAAGTTCTCAGCTTTCTCATCTGTAGTCTGAAGTTCATATTAATACCTTGTGAGGATTAAATAAGGTGGTCCTTGCAAAGCATTTAGCATAGAACCTGAAGGGTACTAATCAATAAAATACCAGCTTTTGATAAGATGACGAGGGTAAAGCAGAGCAGAGGCCTGTAGGGTGAGGTACAGTGGGAATAATCAGAAGACTGTCAGGCATAGGGGCAGAAATGGGCAGTGGGGATAGAGAACTTTTTAAGAAACAGAATAGCTTGGATTTGGTGACTAAATGGCTATGAGGAAGCAGGGTGACTCAGCTGAGTTTCTGGCCCACAAGCCTGTATGGGCAATAGTGCCGTTCTCCGTGCTCAGGAATACTGGAGGAAGAGAGCAGGTTCTAGGGAAAAGTGAAGTGCTCAGATTTGACTTGTTTGGTTTGAAAGGCCTGTGGGCCAGTCAGGAGCTAACAGCGGGATATACAGGTCTGATGCTCAAAAGGAAGATCCAAGTTTATAAACTAGGGACACAGCCGTGAACAAATAGGTGGGAGAGCAGGAAGTTATGTTTTCTTGTCTAGTGGCTTCTATCTTCTCTTGGAACTAGAAGGCAAAATGATCTACCAAGGGAAAGATACAATTTTGAGAGTTTTCAACCTATAGGTATGAGCTCCAAGGAAGAGGGCAGAAGGTAGAATGTCAGTATTTGTGAGTTAGAGAAAGTGCAGCCAGAGATTTGGAGATGGAGGGGAGAGGTATGTCCTAAGGAAAAGGGATTGAAGGAGTGAATGATGATGAACAGTGTCAGATGTTGGCAAAAGGTCATGGGAGATCAAAGACCAGAATTGGCGGTTGGATTTTTCTACAAGGAGGCCTTGATATCCTTGGCTGTGCTACAGGGGAGTGAGGAGACCAAAGCCAGGTCACAAGGGGTCAGAGACATCAGCTTCAAGGCAGGGACTCGATCTGTTTGTTTGTTGCTGTGTGCCTAGTTTCTAAGTTGGCAACTGGTATGTAGTAGGTGCTAAACAAAATACTTGTCGAATGAATGACAGTGCGGAAATCAGAATGGAGTGTAGAAAGAGGTGGCGAGGGTGGAGTTGGAGAGAAATTTGTAGGTGGGAGAGCAGGAAGTTGCAGGTTTTCCTGTCTGGTGGCTTCTATCTTGGAATATGTAGGTGAAGTGATATATGAAGAGCAAGGGGGGAGAGGGCAGGCAGAGCATGGAAGAGTTGCTGAGTTGTGGGTAAGAGGGCTTGAACTTTGGAGGACATTGGCACAGAGGGTGGCAAGGAACGGACTTGAACACAGGGTCAAGGCCAGTTGGAGTTGGGAGTAAGTCTTGGAGATGGACAGAGTAGTGAATAGTGGTGGCATCAGGGAGCCCAGATTTTGCAGGTGCGTTATTAGGGGGATGACTCATTCAGGGTCTGGCTGAAGAGACTTAAGGATAAAGTGGATGGGTTAGGGAACTTGAACATCAAGCGCCTGCGCACACACACGTCCGCCCGCCCTCCTGATGATGGTATATCTTGGCCTCTTAGTTCTTCCTGCCTCTTGCCTCAGTGTCGTTCCCCAGCATAGAAAGAACCTGTCCATGGCTCCCTGTTGCTTCACAACGAACTTTCACAGTCTTATTGGACGTTTGGATGTGAACAGTGCCCCAGTGACTGCTCTAAACACTTCCTCTCTACTGTCTCCCTTCATCTTTGCAGCAAACCTTTGAAGTAAGTGCTGCATTTATTTCCTTTTATGGTTTAGAGAATGGAGGCCCAGAGAGGACAAGTGACTTGCCTAAGGTCACTCAGCACAGAAGTGGCAGAGCTGAGATATAGATCCCCATAGTGCATACATTCTTTACCTCTGGGCTCTGTGGCCATGACAATCCAACCTGGCATTCCAGCCTTCCTTGACTTGGCACCCATACTCTAGGCCTCCTCTGCAGCCTTACCCCCTACTTCTAACCCACTCAGAGTTCAGGCTCTTAATCCAGACCAGCTTGATGTAAGCCCTGGCTCTGCTACCATTTGGTAGCTGTGGGACCTTGAACAAATTTCTTAATCTCTATGAGCTTCATTTTCTTTAACTCTCAAAAGGAATTGATGACAGTATTTACCTCCTAAGGCTGTTGTGAAGTTATATGCTTCATGCATAGAACAGTACCTGGCACATAGTAAATTCTTGATAGATACTAGTTACTGGTGCTGTAGTCATCATCGTCATCATTCTCATTATTATGAGATAACAAATTACCCTTTGTTTCTTCTGCCTTGGGTCCTCAGAGCTGTTTTCTCCCTGTGTCCTGGACCTGGATACCAGTTTTTCCTGATCTGGAATGTACACCCTCTTCCTCTCCTCCCCTTGTGAGAATAATTACTGCTTCCTTAAAGTCTCTCTGGGGGCTTCTGTCCTATTCTTCTCGTTGATCTCTTATGTCCTTTGTCTCATCAGTTACCGTGGACTGGCTATGTCTCCCCCATTTTCTGACTGCTCTGTGCCCAGTGGAGGCTGGACACATGGTATCAGTAGGACCCTCAATGACTGTTGACTGCCACTCTGAGGTTTAAACCCAGTGTCCTGGTCATCGAAGGGCAAAGGGACAAATTAGTTCCAGCCAAGAAGAGTCAGGAGGAGACTTCCTGGAAGAGGAGGCACTAGAACTGAGCCTTGAAGGATTTGGGTTGGTTGGCATTTCCAGCAGCAGAACCACAACATCTACCAAACTTTATTGGCATCAGACAACATTGTGTGTCTATAGGTGGTTTGGTGTGGGATTTATGTAATATGATACAGAAACAGTTCAGGGACTGCATGAGCTCCCAGGGGCAAGGGTTCCCTTTTAGCCATGGAGGGTCCAGGAGGTGCTTCAAGGTGGTGGCCGCAGTTGAGCTTGGACTCAAGACTGGGTCAGAGTGGGCAGAGAAAGGATTTGGATGGAGCCGGATTTTACTGAGTGAAAGATAAAAGGGGTAGGACCTGGGGTAGGGCCTAGGGTAGAAGTTGGGTTTGAAGGTGGTTTGTTTCTTTTTCCTTTTTAGAATCAGAGAGATTTACAAATGATAATTGGTTTAGTGGTTGGAACCAGGAGAATATAGAAGGCCAAAAGAGGAGGGAAATGGAGTTGTTGGATTTTGAAGTGTTTATATCTGTGCCTCCAGCATTCCCAAAAATGTCACCCAGCTTCACTGGAGTATGCCTGGTAGTTTTAAGTGGCACAAAAGCATGGCTTAGTCTTTCCATTAATTTTGAAAAGTATGTCTTTCTATTTTGTGCTATTGTATCTTTAACACTTATCTCCTTGTTTAACAAAATGCCTTTAGGTGGTAGTCTAAAGCCACAGCAACACCTGATTAGAATTTAATAGCCCTAGTCTGTTTTTACTGTTCTATTTCTAAGGCTAATATATTTATGTGAAACAATGCTGGTTTTAAGTGCAAAGAGGGATCAAATTAAAGATAAACTCATGTTCTCTGCAGATCAGTGGATAGCAAATGAGTGGAGTTGGGGTCACTATTCCAGCCCAGGGTTCTTGAAGAAAAAGCCCTTTAGAATTGGGGTGCGGGTCATGCCAAATCTAAGGAACAAAAAGAACAAACTAATCAGAAACAGACTCACAAACATAGAGGACAATCTGATGATGGCCAGAGGGGAGGGGTGTTGGGAGACTGGGAAAAAAGGGTGAAGGGTTAAAGAAGGACAAATTAAGAGTTGATAGATGGTCATAGGGATGGGGAGCATGGCATAGGGAATGCAGTCAGCATTAATGTAATGGCTAGGTGGAGAGCCAGAGGAAAGAAAGAGCAATTAGAGGGATTGTTTAATAAACTGTATAAATATCCAACCAATGCACTGTATACTTGAAACTAATAAAATAAAAAATCAATACAAAAAAATTTTTTAAATAAAGAATTGGGGTGTGGACGGGAGGTAAGATTCAGCTTCTTGGGCCCCTCCCCACTCCTGCTACTTCTGAGATAGTTCATTTAGTCCAGTGGGAATTTCTTGACATGCCTTTGAGAACTACAGTAAGAAGAGTTTTCAGATGGAGTCTCAAGGAACTTTAGTGTACCTCAAAATGTTAATAGATAACACTGGGAGAGGTGAGGAAGGGTTCCCTGGTAAAATAAGTTTGGGAAGCCCTTTTACAGTTACTTCATGTTGGATTAGTCAAGGCTCTTAGAAATGCTGGGATCAAGAAACCTGTCTAACTTTGTTCAGGTCTCATTCGTCTTTATAGCTTCAATACCTGGGAACTGCCAGGTCTTCCATAAACACTGAGTGAGTAAATGAAAAGCTGTAAATGAAGTGTGTTGTGGAGTTGCTCTGTGGAAGTGTGGCACCATTCTTTCATTCAACAAATGTGCAACAGATAACCTACTGTGCACCTGGCATAGTCCTAGGTACTGGGGATACCAAAGGGGAAAAGCCAGTCTGCCCTTGTGAAGCCGACATTCTAGTTGGAAAGACACAATAATCAAATAAGAGACCAAATAGGGCTATAAGTCAAGCCTTGGGCAGCTGGCTATCAGAATGGGGCAGATGTGGATGGATCAAGGGCAGAAATTAGTAGAGGTGATGAGAAGTGCTGACGAGCCAACAAAACTTAGCAATCAGTCCAATGTAGGGGTTGGGTTGCTGATAGATCCCTTTGGTATCATATCAAATACAACATGTAGGGTGTTTCTGTGTGTCTTTGGCAGAATATAAGTTGTAAGGCCCGCAAACCAGAGTGACCTCATTTGGTTTACAGCAGCCATGTGGGGCAGGCCAAGTATGGATCATGATCTTTGTTTTCTAAATGAGGCCTCTGGGGCTCAGGAAGAGGAATGGACTTTCCCAGGGTCTTGCATCCAGTCAGTGATGGGCTTGAGCCCTAAACTCAGTGCTCTTGGCCTGCAGTCTGGAGCTTCCTGCAAACCCCCACTCCCCTGCTGTCTGAATGGACCAAGAGAAAACGGGTGAACCATTGAGTGTGGGGAGGATTGTGGACTCCCTGAGAGCTGAGGGCTCTGTCTCCCCTCTTGTGGCTGGCAGGTGCTATGACAAGCGTCTGTGGCCTCGAATGGACCTGAGCCGGCGGAAGTCACTCACCCCACCCATGCTTAGTGGTGTGGTTCGTCGCCAACCTCGAGCCCTGGACCTCAGCTGGACAGGAGTCTCCAAGAAGCAACTCATGTGGCTTCTGAACCGACTGCAAGGTATGGTGGGGTGGTGAGTCAGGCTAGAGCTATGAGGGGGATATACATGGGGCAGTCCTCCTAGCACCAGCTTTCTGACCACCCCCAGGCCTACAGGAGCTGGTGCTGTCCGGCTGCTCCTGGCTGTCTGTCTCTGCCCTGGGCTCAGCCCCACTGCCGGCCCTGCGGCTCCTGGACCTGCGCTGGATCGAGGATGTTAAAGACTCCCAGCTCCGTGAGCTGCTGCTGCCTCCTCCAGACACCAAACCAGGTGTGGCTTCTGTTGGCTCATTTGTAGAATGGGTTGGGTAAGGGTAGGGGTATGAGGCCTCCAAGGTCTCTTTTGACTCATGCTAGGTGTTAAAAGATTGAAGAAAGGGTCAAGATAGAACACTCGAGTTTAAATAGGAAGGCCCTGCTTGGCTGTTGTTTATTCATTCACTCACCTGCTATGTGCTGGGCCCTATGCTAAAAGCAGAGGGAACAGGTTAAAGAATTAGTCCCTGTTCTCCAGGAGGAGATAATTATAAGACTGACGGATGACAGAATTCTTTGAGAAGCCAGGGACTATGAGCTAATAAGTCTCTGGGTATGATGGGCTTTACTGAAGAGCCTCTTCCAAAGGGAGCAGTGGCAATTGCTGTAGAAGAATGTGGGCCCCCAGTGGCCAGTCAGTTCTGTTTGTCAAGAGGAACCAGAGTATGTGTTTTTCTTTGAAATATCCTGGTTTTTAAATAATGGAAATTAATTCAAATTCTTTTAAAAGTCATGTGTGGATCCAGTAAAAATATGGCTGAAAAATAGATTTGACTCCAAGACTCCTTTGCCCTATAGTAAAAAGACAAAGATATTCCTAAGGGAAAAGAGCAGAAAGAGAGAGCCAATTGACTTGGAAAGTTGCGAGGAGGTGGTGTTATCATCTCCCCAGGCAGACCAGCCACCTCTTCGCCTCAGGTCAGGCCCAGAATATGTTGAACACATATTTTGGACCTGGCCCTGTGTAGGACCCTGGAGACCTCAAACTGAATCAGTTCCATTCCTCACCCCAGTCATGCAGAAGAATCAGAAATAGGTATGGCATGATATGGTAAAGACTGTGGGATTTGGGGGGCAGTGAGAGAAGCCCTTCTTGAAAGGAGCTATTTGAACTGAGTCCTGAAAGAGACAGGTTTTTTTCAAGGGAGTGTAAGGCAGAATAAGCAGTTTTATGGGGCAGGAGTCCCATATTGGCAGAGAGGGATGCTGGAAGCTAAGGCTGGTCAGGTGGGCAGAGGCCTGGTCGCTTTCGGGGTCATACAGAGGTATGGAGTGAGGGCACTGAAGTCTGGAGGCTCCTTGTCTAGCAAGTAGATGGGATGCTCACAATAGCATCCTCTCTGGCCCCTACCAGTCTATTCTCCATACTGAAGCCAGGGAACTATCCAGAAGGACAGGTCTAACCATGTCACTCCTGTGCTATAAACTTTCTCATTGCTCTTCAGTGTTCTTTGGATACCATAGTCGCTAAGGCCTGGCGGGTTCTGGTTCCTGCTGTAAACTTTCTCATTGCTCTTCAGTGTTCTTTGGATACCATAGTCGCTAAGGCCTGGCGGGGTCTGGGTCCTGCTGACCTGTGCCATCCTGCATTTTAGCCACCTCAACTTCCTTGCCAAGTTCCCTCTAACCCCAAGGCCTTTGCCCACTCTGCCTAGAATTCTCTATCCTCTTTCATCTAATTAACACCTAATCATCTTTGCATCAATCTAAATTTCCATTTCCTCCTAGAAGCCCTCCATGATCCTTTCCCCCACTGAGATCAGAGTCCCTCTTAAACTTTGAGAGCAGTCTCTTCCCAGTATAGCACTGTACAGTTGTGAAATCATTTGATTAAAATCTGTTCCCCCTCACTATGTTCTTAAGCTTTGTGAGGGCAGGGACTGTGTGCTTGCCCCAGCACCTTGCTTTCATAGCTCTTTCATGTATCCCTTCTTCCTACCCACACTACCCCACCCCACCCACTTCACAGTAGTCTTGGAGTAGAGAAGCGACTAGGATTTTTTGCATTTGCTGGACAAAGCACCAGAGGCCCAGAAGGGTTTAGTGACCACTGCCAGTCACAGGCAAAACCAGACCAGAGTAGTCATCTATTTCCCACTCTTAACTGGAATTCGACTGAGCCAGGAAGATTTGGGCATGGGTAAGGGTAGGAATTGGGAACAGTGCATTCCATGAAGTGAGAAAGTGCTTGTTGGCTGGCAGCCTGAATTCGTTTCAATTTAAGCCCATTTATCAGGAGCTTGCAAAGACGAGCCTTCTAGGCCCTTGAAGCCTGTGGTGCAAATTGGCACTCTATACCTACCTTTCTGATCTTGACTCCTTGGTTCATGATTCATTCCTGGAGCAAAAGTTCTTCTACCTTGCTTCTGCCTCTGCTGTTCTCTGCCTGGTGTACTCTTTTCCTATCTCTCCACACAGTCACATCCTTGAAGGCTCAGCTCAAATGCTGCCACCACAGCGAAATCCTCACTGATGCCCCCTTGCCTCACCCAAGCCAGAAGTGCCTTTTCCCTGCTTCCCTCTAATGGCATTTAGCTGTGGCCCATGGTTGAGGGGATCTGTAGATGTATTCCCTCTCCAGGTTCTTAGCTTCTCCAAGGATATATAAGGAGAGCTTGTCTAATCAGGTACCCACAGAGGTGGCCTGGCAGGTAACAAGTGATAGGCTTTGGTGCAGGACATTAGGCAGTAGCACCTATCAACCCAACTCCAGTCAGTCATTGTCAGGTGAAAGGGGCAGCCCTGTAATGCCGGATCTTACAGTTTTTTTAAGGAAAAACTCAGTGTCTAAATTCCTTTATTAAAATGTCCTTTTTGTAGTATTAGACATGAAGAAAATTTTTAGCACTATGCAGACTCCATAAAACACTTGGAGTCTATGTTCATGAGTCTGTGACATCCAATCTAATTTATCTAGGGGCTAGGCTGGTGCCTGGGAGGCAGACAGCATTGTGGTAAGTGTTTGGACTTAGAGTCACTGAGGCTTGCTATCCTAGCTGTTACTCCATAATCCTGTGACCGTGGACAGATTGCTTAATGATTTGAGCCTCAGTTTTCTCATCTGTAAACAGGAATGATAATCAGAGAACTTTTCTCCCAGGGCTATGGTTCTTAAAGCATGGTCAGCAGCATCAACATCACTAGAGCAATGGTCCCCAACCTTTTTGGCACAAGGGACCGGTGCTCCTCTGAGAATCTATTTAATGCCTGATGATCTGAGGTGTAGCTGAAGCAGTGATGCTAGCACTGGGGAGCGGCTGCAAATATAGAGGAAGCTTCACTCGCTCGCCCACCACTTAACCTCCTGCTGTGCGGCCCTGTTCCTAACAGGTCACACCCAGCCTAATACTGGTCCCAGTCCCTAGACTGGGGGTTGGGGACCCCTGCACTAGAAAACTTGTTAGGAAAATAAACTCTGAGGCTCTACCTTAGACTACCTAAACTGTTGATGCACCATAGGCATTTTTTTTTTTTAACCATAATGCAGGAATGTGGTAGATACAATAAGAGGGAAACTTTGGGTACAGAGATGAGCAGTGCGAGCTCTTCTGTCTTCAAGATCGGGGAAGAGGAGGCTTCTGAGCTCAGACCTGGAACCAGGCACACTGGCTAGGCAGAGGACTGAGCACAGGTGGTCACAGGCAGAGTCCGTCAGGGTAAAGTCACCTGTGGAGTTTGAGGGTGAGGGAGAGGAGTTAAGAGCTGAGATAGGGATAAGATCTTAGCGTAACTGGAATGTTTTACCAAGGAGATTGGACTTGTCTGAGGTATCCTCAGAGGGTTTTAAGCAAAGAATGGGTGTTGTCCCACTTGTGTTTGAGAATGGCTCTCTGGATTCCAGGAAGGAGAAGAGAGACTAGAATGAGTGCAGAGGCTGGGGCAGGAGTTGAGGGTAGTGGTGTTGGCTCAGAGTGGTGACAGGGAATGTAGAGAAAGGAATCCAGTTGGTTACTTTACTAACCATGGAAGGAGAGGGAAGTGGGAGAGCAGCCTGGGATGTCATTTGTTAGATGAATGATTATATTGAACACCTATGTCCCTTTTGTTGGGGTTAGAGTAAGAACAAGACAAAAAAATTCTTGACTTCTTGGAATTGACATTCTAGTAGGAGGAGAGAAAGAAATATGTATGTCAAATAGTGGAGAAAGGGGGAAACAGTACAGAGAAGGGGTAGAAGTATGTGGAGTGTTATAGTTTTAAGTGGAATAATCATGGCAGGCCTCACTGAGGAGGCATTGCGAGCAGTGGACAGATGAGATGAGGTCAGGTTGTGGGGGTGTTTAGGAAAAGAGTAAGCCAGGCAGAGAGTACCAGTCGAGATGCCCTTTTATAGTGGGAGCAGGTTCAGGGGTGGTGAGGAATGTGAGCATGGAAACAATTGGTCAGGATGCGTACTAGGTGCAAGGATGGAGTAGTGGGTAGTGCTGACCTCTTATCTGCCTGCCCAGGGCAAACGGAGAGCCGTGGGCGGCTGCAGGGGGTAGCAGAGTTGCGCCTGGCAGGCCTGGAGCTGACAGATGCCTCCCTGCGGCTCCTGCTGCGCCATGCGCCCCAGCTGAGTGCCCTGGACCTGAGCCACTGCGCCCATGTCGGAGATCCTAGCGTCCACCTCCTCACGGCCCCCACCTCCCCGCTCCGAGAGACCCTGGTACACCTCAATCTTGCTGGTAAGCATGGTCCCATCTGTTCATCCTGCTAGCCTGTTGGTCCACATGACCAGTGCCTACCCCCTAACTCTCCTGGTATTGGCTACCATTGCCCCATCCCCAGGTTGCCACCGCCTCACTGACCACTGCCTTCCGCTGTTCCGCCGCTGCCCGCGCCTACGCCGTCTTGATCTGCGCTCCTGCCGTCAGCTCTCACCTGAAGCTTGTGCTCGGCTGGCAGCCGCTGGGCCCCCTGGCCCCTTCCGCTGCCCAGAGGAGAAGCTGCTTCTCAAGGACAGCTAGTTGGGTGCCCCCCACCCTCCCCCAGGACTCGTCAGGAGCCTGGACCTCAGGCCTTCATTTCCCCTGCTGGGAGGCCAGATTACCCACCCACCTCATGACTTGGGATTCCTGAGTTTTCTGACTTGGGATTCCTGCCCAGGGACTCGAGCCTGCCTCCCCATTCTCTACCCCCTGCACTGATATTTCTGGGGGTCTCTCCTTCCCATCCCTTCTCCCTTCCATCTGCTTCATTGTCCATCCCCTGGGGGGGAGTGGGTCAGAGGTACTGGGGGGGTGCTGAGCCAAAGGGATGGTGGGAGGGTGGGTATGGTGCAAGTTTGAGGAGGGAGAATGGGGGAAGGGTATCAGGATACTGGGAGCCAGGGGCTGGGGAAGGTGGAGGCTGGGCTGGGGGAGGGGGGCAGAAAGCAGACCACCAAGGGTGCAGGGAAAGGACCAGATACTTGGAGTTGGGGGGTGGGGAGGGCAAAAAGGGAAACCAGACGAGCAATTGGGGATCCCAGGTGTCAGAGGTGGGAGTACTTGGGGAATCAGGGAAAGCCAGGGCTGAGTGAGGGGTTGGGGGAGGGACAAGAACAGGTGTGGGGGCAGTAGTACCCCCTTAGGGGGTCACCCCTCTCCTTACTCCCTCCCCAGATTTCAGTTCATTCCCCTTCCCTGACTCCTTGAAAGTCACTGACAATGGCAGCTATTGAGAGGAGTGGGGGCCCGCTGGCCTACCTGCTGTTCAGCGTGGCCCAGGGGAGTGGTGAGGGGTACCCCAGCCCCCTGCCTGCCTCCCCGCTCAATACTTGAACATTCATCTGTACTGAAGTGTTACTTGAACCTGGGGAACCTTGGACCTAGGGGAGCCACGTTGAGGGGCCAGGACCAGCTTGGACTGAGACTGGACCAGTGGGTGCCCAGTTTGGACTATGCCACTCCCAGGCTCTCTCTTGCTTTACTGTATTGAGCAGCTCCACCCACTTGACCTGAGGTGGGGTGGGGTGGGGTGGGGTGCCAGCCCAACGATGGGGATGATGGGACTCCTCCAGCTTGGCATTTCCCATTCTTTCATCGTCATGGAAACTTGTATCCCATTTGCCCAGGGAACTGCCACTCCTGGTTGCCATGGAAATAGCAGCCAATGGACACGGGCCAAAGCCACCGTTAAGGCTAGAAATGGCCCCTTTTGGTTGCCATGGGAACTTAGTAACACTCTTGCCCTGCCTCTTCCTCCAGTGTGAGGGCGGGGTTTGGGGAGCCAGGGCCCGCCCCTCAGCCCAGGCCTGAGGCGGCGGGGGTG